ATTGTTTCAGTTTGTTGCAATTGCGGGCAATGGCGTTACCTTATCTTCTGGAGGCATGATACGCCCCTAATATTTAGTTAAACTCAAGTTATCAGGGAAGAGACACCTCAGGAAGGCTTTTACCCGGAAATTTTCGCATCTGGTCGACATTTCCCGAATGTCTTACCTGTTGTAGTGACAGTAGTTCCACCGATTCCATTGCTTTCAATGGTGGCAGCAGCATCTTGTGCGACCTGAGATGCATCCACAGCATCCGTGCTGAAGGTACTCAATGTTTCGGCTGCGATGCTCCCAGGCTTGAAAGGAAGAGTCACGTTCACGTCCACCTCCTGCCCGCCGGCCAGCTGGTAGCTGTTCTTCAGCTAAAGGAAGAGGGTAGATTTTTTTATTATCGCGGATTCTTATCATCAGGAGTGTTAGGGAGATGCCAGATCGAACCTCATTTTTGATCTTCTGGGACAGGGCGATGGCGTCCGGATGGGTGGTCGTGTCGTGGACTCCGGTCTTGAACGTCTCGTTGAGTTTCAAAGCCATTCTGTGTGTGTGTAGCGGGGGACTGATGGACAACATCGTCTCTGGCAGAGTAGAAATATCCATGCATGACGTGGGAGAACCTCCAATCAAATAAGGCGCGAATTCGGAAGATTTTTCATGGGAGACCTGCGAAGGTTATGTTCTCATGGGTGAAGAGCGCAGAGAGGGCGGAGAGCAAAGTCCCGACTTGATCCTTGTCTTCAGTGGCCGGAAGGGAGTTCTGCACGGACGCGATGAGACTGCTCGTGTCCACGACCGAGTCTTCCATTGACGGATCCTTACCCATTGCCAGTCGCCAGGATCTCAATGCTTTCTCCAGATTCTTCTTGGCTATTTCCATGTCCTACAAGGAAGTAAATGGATGCTTCAGCATAAATTGTCATCTCGATCCTTTCGGGCGAAATATTATTTTTTTTTGGAGTTGGACCTGGATTTTGCCGAGTTTGTTGATGATGGTCTGGAGCTCGGCGTTTGATGGGACGATTTTCTGCAATTCCGACTTCAAGTCCATACTGAGAAGTTCTTTAAGGTCAGCCTTAGCCATCTCTTTGTCCTTCCCTTGAGCGGATAAATGAATCTAAATGCAATTACCTTTCCTTTCCTTGTTTAGGGCAGGAATTACGTAATTTCCCTTTAAAAAAAATTGTTTTCGTCGAAGAATCTGGAACGGTTGCGACGACTGCGAATCACAAACCGGTGATGATGATTTTGTTGAGAATCTCCGCCCCGGCGAGGGTGGTCATCGTGGGAACCGGATCGACCGCTTGTCTCGGCAGGCTGTAGGAGAGTTTCAAAGAGACGCCCGTGTTGGACCCTCTTCTCGTCTTCGCTAGTCCCAGGACCCGAGCAGGTTCGAACCCAATGACTCCGCCGAAGTGGAAGGCTTTCCCCATCTGCATAATGGACATTCGACCTCGTCTCGAGGGGCGAGAAATCGACTCGACGTTGGAGATCCAGCTTACGTCTTGGACGATCGAATCGACCAGCGTCTCGTATTTCCCGGATTTCGGATCGGCATAGTCGAAGGGCAGTGCCAGTTCCATGTACACGTGAGACCGAATCTTCGGCGTCTGGAGGATCTCAATCATCTTGGCTAAAGAACAGAAACGTGTTTGAAAGTTACAAGCCGATGCTAATAGCAACCAAAGATACCTTCAACGAAGTTTCTCGAGGAACTAATGGCCATACCGAAGCACTGAGCGCCTTCGCCTCCAGACTGAAGTTCGCACGCCTTGATATCTCCGTTGAGGACGTCCGCCAGCTGTTTCTCCGTGACGTTCCGGGGCTGCAAAGAATCGATGAAGGGCTTTCGTGGTATTGCAGAATAGGTTCAATGGGTCGGGAAAGCCCCGTAAGTGTCTCACCCCGAAGGTGACTGAAGCGGTGAGGAGTCTGACGACATCCGTCACGGATGCCAGCTCGGGGGGATTCCCCGGATCCGCGTCTCCCAGCGTCGTCTGCCATGCGTCGGCCGAGCGCGCCAAGAACTTCCTAGCGTTCTCCCTCTGCAGCGACCGAGGGAAACCTTTCAACATCCATCGTTCTCCGAGGCGAGAGCCGAACTCACCTGGAGAGGCGTGAGGGCATTCAGCTGGTCCAGAGCCTGCTTCGCCTCCGTCGCCTGCGGGTTCTCTCCCACGTACTTCTTCAGGAACTCATAGGTATCCGCCTCTGGTGTCAAGTCGGCCGTGCCATCAGCCGCTTCACTTGATCCGAGTTCTCTCTTGATCGTCCCTGATGCATCGCAACGCGACTTGTCACATCGATTTCTTGGCAATTTCTCATCGAATCAATGTAAATATTTTTGTCTCGCAATTTAAAAGCTCGTGCAGAAACTTTCGGACGCAGAGCTCGGTTGGAGAGGAACTCATGCACGTCATTGATGGACGTAATTTATTTATTCGGAAGCGGGTAATCGTTCGATTGCTTACTGTTCCTTCTCAGACACATGGGAACCATTTGCCGGAGCTGATGAATTTCCCTATGATTTCTTGGGTTCCATGGATATAGCGAGACGTGCCTTTCATAGCAACGCTGTGAATGGCACGTCTTTCAATGTATCTAATTTGCAATTTTCTCTGTGGAAAATTACCAGAAATTCATAGCAACACTCGCACGTCCCACTGTCGCTATCACTGGGGAACCGGGCAAAAGGGAAGTAGTATATAGGCTGATGAGTGTGAACTGCGAAAGTTAAGGCCTCTTATTACCTCGTACAATGCTGCCGTTCGCTTCCTTTTCCTTAGCAATGGTAGCAGCAACTTCCGAAACCCAAGTCGCCTCGACGATGTCCGTGCTGAAGGTGGTCACGGCGTTCGCTTGGACGCTCCCGGCTCGGTTGGAAAGGGTGACGTTGACGTCCACCTCCAGCCCGCCGGACAGCTGGTAGATCAGCCGCACCTGGAGAGAGAGAACGGGTCGGTTCCTGCAAATTCTGAGCTTTCGGTTTGGGAGATGCGAGATCGGACCTCATCTTGGATCTGATGGATCAGTTCGGTGGTGTCTGGATGGTTGGGATCGTCGTGGACTTCAGGCTTCCACTCGTCCTTTAGCTTCAATGTCGTTTTATCCACGTGCAACGGGGGATTGATGGATAACATCAGCTCTAACAGATTGAAGTGCTATCTGTAAGCAGGCGGATCGAAGAGAGAGCGAATCGAAGAAGAATCTATGATTGAAACCTGAGAAGCTCATGATCTCGTCATTGAAGAGGGCAGAGAGGGTGGCGAGCAAAGTCCCGACTTGATCCTTGTCTTCAGTGGCCGGGAGGGAGTTCTGCACGGACGCGATGAGACTGCTCGTGTCCACGACCGAGTCTTCCATTGACGGATCCTTACCCATTGCCACTCGCCAAGACTTCAATGCTTTCTCCAGATTCTTCTTGACTATTTCCATGTCCTGCAAGGAAGTAAATGGATGCTTCAGCAGAAATTGTCATCTGGGTCCTTTTGGGGGAATGATTTGCGTCGTAGCCGCTTTCATATCCTTCCAAGAAAGAGAATGACGACGTTATGTTGGTGCACCAGTGGTGCTTTCTAGACGAATGACGCTTTCTGTTGGAACGAACCGGGATTTGGGCGAGTTTTTTTGCGATGGTCTTGAGCTCAGCGTCGGAATCGGCCATTTTCTCCACCTCTGCCTTCAAATCCATGTCGAAAAGTGCTTCCAGTTCAACTTTTGCGCTCTGTTTTTCTTTCCCTTGAGGGAAAATGGTATGAAAAATTCATGGTGCGAAATGAGATCATCTTGGGATCTGTCTTCCATAACGTGGAGGAGATTCTATAATAGGCGTAAGTCATTGTTAACAAGGCATGCGATATCAGCAGGGCCCGTTTTCTAGTATTTCTTCAGAGACGGAAAGAGATACAGAGGTAACCAATGCGACCTTTTAACACTTTGAGCCTTGGAAATTTGATTATGCGCTTTGGGCATAGGACATCATATGACGACCACAGGGCTCGAAGTGTTAATCACTTAATTCTTTTGCCGAGACGTTCCACGTCTGTAAATGCTTTTTCATCTTGCAAGAAATCCCTGAAATCGGGTGGGTGAGGTGAGTTGCTGAGACCCGGAGGAAAACGGCCTGCTTCGGGGTGCACCGCGTTGCCATGGCTTTCATATCCGGGCAACCGCCAGCGTCCTCGCCGTCGAATTGAAAAATCCAGACTCCCGTTCCTTCATCTATTAACCATGCGTTCGCTCCATCGATTTCAATCGCGATTAAAGGACTCCTCTGGAACCTCAGGGGAATTCTCGAAAAATGTTCGAGGTCAAGGAAGGTCAATTCTTTACGCGCAGAGAACCATGATGACAATCGATAATTTTCACGGGACGATGAATCACTCGTATGAACGCTCCCAGGAAATCCGTCTTGCTGAAATCTGCTGCTTCCACATTTGAATTCACGGCGATCCATCGACGAATGCAATCCGATGTCGAATCGCTTCTCGATCAGATTTTCAGTATAGAAATGAATGCAGGAAAACTTTCGTATAGAGCGGCGGAAGGCAGGATGCATGAGCGATGCATGAGCGATGCATGAGCGGCAGATCGAGAATCGTAGTTAAAAGAAAAAGAAACTGGGCCAGGGTCAAGGCGTCTGGATGGTCCGGGGTTTAAATGCGCAGTTCTCCCTACTTATATTAATAACAGCGGGTCGATGGACGCCTTCGATCGTGGAGGCAGGCGAACTCAAAGAGACATATTATGATGATGATGTTCAACTGCCATAGAATTTATTATAAAGCTGAATACAAATTTTGCACGCGGGATGCGAGCACACTGCCACGTCTCAAGAGTTTCTGCACTTTGGCCTTTCCCAAGACGAATGCAGCCAGATGGGGGGGGGGGATACCGCTCGCCGTAACGATCAGCATGCGACCTCACCTCACGGACGAATGGATGGCCTTTAGCGTCGGTCCTGTTTATTTACACGAGGCATTGACAGGGGAAATTCAAAAGGCCCTCTTTACTTCCCAGGGGCGTCAGAAACGTGTGGGCAGAGTGCACCCGGTCGTCTAACTCCCCCCACTGAATGATTTACGAAAAGAATTCTACCGTGTGCAGAGTAGCCCACTTCCTGGAACCAATTTCATTGGAACGTTCTACGCTTCCCAAGCCTTCTCAGAAGCAGCTCGGGACGCAATTTTGCCGTACGGAAACACTGGTTGCCATCGGAGTGAAGTTCGCAGGCCTCGATGTCTCCGTCGAGAACGTCTACTTGCTGTTGCTCCGCCGCGCCCCCGGGGCATCGAAGGAACGGTTCAGACCAAAGAGTGTATATAGGAGAGGCCTTCGCTGCCTCGAGAGTTACAAGTGCTTCTGCCATCTTGGGACGGTTCTGCGTGACGTGATTGGTTGGGTGGAGGTCCCCAGGCATATAGCCCGGGGCAAGTTGCCTCTTTTGCCCTACCCCTCTCCATGTCTGCTATGAAAAACTTTGCTCGTGCGACTTCAGTAAGATGGCGGCCGCGCCATAGGGGAGGCCTCTCCATCATACACTCTCTATGGTTCAGACAGTTCGGGAACAGGTCGGACCGGTCTGCTCGCTCCAGACCATGCCGTGGAAGGGGGAGAAATATGTATAGGTTACATGAGGATAATCGAAACGGGCCTCACTCGTAACCCGATCAGCTGGCGGGCGAGTTCTTTCCGATATCCAGGAGAGGGGGACCGAGGCGAAACCGAGATGTCGAAAAACGAGGCCCGTTTCGGGTATCCGACTCTCCATCCCTCTTGTAAGACATTTAAAACGGTTGGTATAGCCGATCGGTCGGATAAGAGGTGGAATCGCTGGGTCATCCGATGGCTCGTTCGACACGGTGTCTACGGAGCGCCGTCGGTATAATACGTATAATTGAGCAGAATGAAAACAGACATGAGTGTGTGACTGCTCAATACATTGAACGTCGTTTCGAGAGAATGTCAGGACCATGAAGAAGGAGAAGGGGGGGGGGGGGGGGGGGGGGAACGAAGGAGAGCTGAAGAGAGGAAGAGCACAGCGAGATGGAGGGTCTTGTAGGCCATTTCCTCTCGATAGCGGATAGAGGAACCTTCTCACCGGTCCTCCAGCGAATCACAGGACGTTCTCCGCCTTTCTTTGCTGCTTCCTACTCTTAATCAACTGATGAGGCAAATATCACGGGCGGCTACTATCCCTCTCGCCTTCCTTGGTCCTAGCCTTACATGCTTTTTTGTTGGCTCTGTTGGTCCCTAAGTACCTTGGGGATACCGATGGCAGCTCGGCCGATTGGAATTCGATGACCAAGCAAGGATCGTACGGAAATTTCAAAAGAAAATGTTCCAATAGGCAGTTTTTTTTAAATATTTCTTTAAGAAAAATGTCTCGCCAGGCGTTGCCATGGTTCTCATGAGCTGCAACAAAGCTCGTCGGGTCATGTTTATTGAAATGAATAATTGAGGGCGGACTCTCATACATGCATTAAATATTCATGCGTCTCCCCATAAGAAGGCGAAGGGACTTCCACAGTCAACAGTGTGGACTCGATCTATTTCAATCGATTTCAGTCGCGATCAGACCAAAGATGGCATTTTTTCCAGGTATTTTTCCAGGTATTTTTTCCAGGTATTTTTTCCAGGTATTTTTCCAGGTATTTTTCCAGGTATTTTTTCCAGGTATTTTTCCCAGGTATTTTTTCCAGGTATTTTTTCCAGGTATTTTTCCAGGTATTTTTCCAGGTATTTTTCCAGGTATTTTTTCCAGGTATTTTTCCCAGGTATTTTTCCAGGTATTTTCCAGGTATTTTTTCCAGGTATTTTTTCCAGGTATTTTCCCAGGTATTTTTTCCAGGTATTTTTTTCCAGGTATTTTTTCCAGGTATTAAATTTTTTTTAGAGCTGGTGGTGAATACGTTTTCAGCATAATTGCGTAACTCTTTCGCTGTGGAATTATTTTCTGGGAGTAATACCGTTTTCCTGAAATTTTACATGAAAAAAATACTCAAAATTGAAATTTTGCTTCCTTATTTTGAAGATGTTTCTAATGGATTTCTCCCCCCGTCCCGAAATTATCATGCGTTCTTGTCCTCCGCAAAAATTTCATGAAGAGATGGTCTTTAAAAGGTGGTGTTTAAAAGGGTGGTGCTCCACGACGCAGGTGCTAGGTGCTCTAAATAGGAGAAAGATGGTCAATTTTCCGTTGCAAACGATTTTTATTTTATTTTTGAGAAGCGGAGAGGCGAGCAGGCTCCCAAGTCTGAAGACGCTTCGAGAGCAAAATGAGCACTGGCTTGTTATTGCGGCGTTCCCACACGGGTCTTGAGCGACGGGAGTGCGCACCTGGTGAATTACCTCATCAACGCGTTTTTTTTCCGCCTGTGAGTCCACAACCCGAGGGCACCAGAGACAGAAGAACACACCAAAAAGTGACAAAATTGACAAAAGTGACAAAAGTGACAAAAGTGACAAAAGCGACAAAAGTGACAAAAGTGACGAAAGTGACAAAAGTGGTCACTTGCCGCTGCAGGCTCTGCAGCAGCAGCTCTGCCCATGTGCCGTGCAGCACATCGCGACCAGGATCAACAGAACCAGCGCTACCAGAAGAGAACAAAAAAAAATCCAACTCAATTTTTTTTTTCTTCTTAAGTTTTCATCTCGTTGAGCTGCCCGAGAAATTCGAATATCATCTCGTCGGATAATTTTGTCCTCGAGCGAGAAAAAAAAAAATCCTTGATGCCGCAGAAAAACTACTCAAGTTGAATTTCTTTATTTTTTTTTACTGTTTGCCATCAATTGAGTATGAAAATATGGAAAACGATGAATCGGAAAAAATCACGAGAAAAATGAAGTCCTTGCATGTGAAACAATACGCTGATCAAGACATTGCAGCAGGCGGATCAAGATATTGCAATTCAGCCACACGGCCAGAACTTTTTTAAAGCGTGTATCCTCGGAATTGGAGGTGTGAATGCCCCCAAAAAATTAGTCATTTTTTTTATATTAGTCAAAAAAAGAAATTAGTCATTTTTTTTTTCATGAACGCGAAGGACCTCCTTGCAAAATTCCACGTGTATCCCTCAAAATTATTGAAAAAATGAATTTTTTTTATATGCATGGTAAGCAATAAGAAAATGATTGAGATTTCGTCCCTTACCAGCGACAGAAGGTATAGTGATCTGCAGAAAGAGACGAGATTCCCTGTCCGAAAACACCTTGACGATCGCGGAGTGTTCGGCCGTGGTCGTCGTCGCCTGCGACCTCCCTGGGAGAGAAATTCGTGCGCTTCCAACAGCCCCAAAACCGGCTTGGATTGGAGGCTTACTCGATCCTGGCACTCACCGGATGGAGGGAGGTCGGTCTGAAGATCCCCAAAGTGATAGGTCCCGTCTGGCATGAGCGAGTTGGCGTCGATGTCGTCCTGGACCTTCCCCAGGTTCACGCCTGGGGTGAATTCCATGGTGAAGTCCGAGATGACGCTGCCCCGTCGGTTGGCCTGGCAGACGGTCCTCTGGTAGAAGGCTCTCTGGCTGCTGCCCGCCAGGGACGACACCATCTGCAACGCACAAGCGTGATGCTATGCCTCTACGAAACTGAACGGTTGGGTATTTCTGGCTCAGAAAGAGACAATCGGAATCCCGAGTCCCATTCGAGACATGTCCCTCCTCCTCTGAATTTCCGACCTAACCAGAAAAGGAACGAGACCTAGGGAATAGGGAATGTGTGAGATTGGAGCCAAAATGGACCGGAAAGCCTTGAGGTTCAAGATCTGTGAGGGCGAACGCGTTTTTTCTTTTCCTCATCTCTACCACAATTTTTTCCCCAGCTATTAGCCTCTCAACACTTGACTCCAATCGAGTCTGTGAGTTTCATCTCGCGTGAACAAGGAGTGCAAATGATAAATCCCTTTTTTTTTAATTTGGGAACAGCTTCCCAAGGCGGCTGCACCGCTTCCATGAGGTACGCATTTCGTTTTTAATGCGCTCCATTATGCTTAACATAGCTAGAGACTCGATTGAGTCCTCCGGTACCCAAATGATCTCACTTAAAAATTAAAGAAATCGGAGATCTCCGGAAATAATAGAATTAGACATACGCCACTCTCGATCTTGGAACAGAGATCGTTGAACTCCGGCGAACCGACCGTGGCGAAGCCATTCTTCCAGGGGACGTTGGTGATGTGCAGTCCCCCAACCCGCAGCTTCACTGCAAGAGTAAGCCCAAACCTGCACTGAAACCCTCACAACCCACAGACTGCATCGAAACCCATTTCAAGATTCCTGGCATCCATCGTCGTCCAAGTCATGCAAACGGAACAGAGAGTGGATCGAGACAAAATCGAAGAAATGGATGAAAGCAGAGACGAAGAGGCGAAGAAGTTAAGGACATGGAGGTCGAAACAAAAGTTTAAACATTTTTCAAAGGAGCACTCACCGGCATTAGGGATTGATGGCGTCTGTCGATTGTTTGAGCCTGTTTGAGCTCCTTCAGCTGGTGAGCTGCCAATAGCCCCAGTGCCTCCAGGAATGCCATTTACTGGAGTTTTGCCAGAAATGCCAGATGTCTGCGGTTCGCCAATAGTTCCAGGGGTACCAACAGTAGTAGCAGTCGTCCCGTCAGCTGACCCATCAGTTGCCCCAAGCGCTGTCCCATCAGTTGTCCCAAGTGGTGTCCCATCAGTTGTCCCAAGTGCTGTCCCATCAGTTGTCCCAAGAGCTGTCCCATCAGGATTCCAATAAGCTGTCCCAAGTGCTGTCCCATCAGGATTTCTATAAGCTGTCCCAAATGCTGTCCCATCAGTTGTCCCAAGAGCTGTCCCATCAGTTGTCCCAAGTGCTGTCCCATCAGGATTCCTATAAGCTGTCCCAAGTGCTGTCCCATCAGTTGTCCCAAGAGCTGTCCCATCAGGATTCCTATAAGCTGTCCCAAGTGCTGACCCATCAGTTGCCCCAAGCGCTGTCCCATCAGTTGTCTCATGCGCTGTCCCATTAGTTGGCCCAAGTGCTGTCCCATCAGTTGTCCCACGAGCTGATCCATCAGTTTTCCCACGAGCTGACCCATCAGTTGTCCCATCAAATGACCCATCAGTTGTCCCAGATGTCCCTGAACCAGTTACCGATGTGCCATTTGTAGTAGTAATCATCCCAGTATTAGATCCTGGTCAACCAATGAAATCAAATTCCTATGTAGCAGATATCTGGGAGTTTTTCATTGTTTCAGTTTGTTGCAATTGTGGGCAATGGCTATCTTCTGGAGGCATAATTCGCCTCTTGCATTTTGTTAAACTCAAGTTACCAGGGAAGAGACACCTCAGGAAGGCTTTCACTGGGAAATTTTCGCGTCCGGTCGACATTTCCCGACTGTCTTACCTGTTGCAGTGACAGTAGTTCCACCAATTCCATTGCTTTCAATGGTGGCAGCAGCATCTCGTGCGACCTGAGATGCATCCACAGAATCCGTGCTGAAGGTACTCAATGTTTCGGCTGCGATGCTCCCAGGCTTGAAAGGAAGAGTCACGTTCACGTCCACCTCCTGCCCGCCGGCCAGCTGGTAGCTGTTCTTCAGCTAAAGGAAGAGGTCGATTTTTTTTGGTTACAGATTCTTATCAGGAGTGTTAGGGAGATGCCAGATCGAACCTCATTTTTGATCTTCTGGGACAGGGCGATGGCGTCCGGATGGGTGGTCGTGTCGTGGACTCCGGTCTTGAACGTCTCGTTGAGTTTCAAAACCATTCTGTGCGTGTGTAGCGGGGGACTGATGGACAACATCGTCTCTGGCAGAGTAGAAATATCCATGCATGACGTAGGAGAACCTCCAATCAAATAAGGCGCGAATTCGGAAGACTTTTCATAAGAGACCTGCGAAGGTTGTGTTCTCATGGGTGAAGAGGGCAGAGAGGGCGGAGAGCAAAGTCCCGACTTGATCCTTGTCTTCAGTGGCTGGGAGGGAGTTCTGCACGGACGCGATGAGACTGCTCGCGTCCACGACCGAGTCTTCCATTGACGGATCCTTACCCATTGCCACTCGCCAAGACTTCAATGCTTTCTCCAGATTCTTCTTGACTATTTCCATGTCCTGCAAGGAAATAAATGGATGCTTCAGCAGAAATTGTCATCTGGGTCCTTTCGGGGGAATAGTATTTTATTTTGGAGTTGGACCTGGATTTTGCCGAGTTTGTTGATGATGGTCTGGAGCTCGGCGTTTGAAGGGACGATTTTCTCCACTTCGGACTCAATCAAGAATGATTTCAACCTTGTTGAACCTCATTGTTTCCAATGATTTCAACCTCATTGTTAACAAGGCATGCGATATCAGCAGGGCCCGTTTTCTAGTATTTCTTCAGAGACGGAAAGAGATACAGAGGTAACCAATGCGACCTTTTAACACTTTGAGCCTTGGAAATTTTTTTATGCGCTTTGGGCA